GGTTCTCATACGACATCTGAAATTGTACATATTAAAACGAAATGACGATATTGTGATCTGAAAGTAATTTGAGCTGAGGAACATTTTGTAATAGAATGTAAATTACACAACGAAGATAGAGCTGAACATTATAGTTAGCAGTACAGACCAATCAAGGACATTCTACTGAATGTCCTTGGACAAATGTATACCTCTCCTGAACTTAGTCAAACCTTCGACTATGGAACAGATCTGTTCTTACCTTTTTACCATGACTACTAAAAGGCGAGGATAAGTCGATTTCACTTAGGTGAACTAACAAAAGATCAGACTGTGGGTTGCCTCACCTTTCCTCTAAGTATGAGACGTGGTGCAATGATTGTAGCGGTGAGAGCTGTCGATATCACTAACACGCAGAAACCCATTGCAAACCAGCATACATTACTGGATTTCACCTTCTTCCACATTCTGATGGCACAGTCTAGGATTGAATTTTAATAGTAAAGGCCATAAGAATGTGAAATGCAATATTCTCACGTTCTCAACACTAATGAAGTTGTTTCTAATCGCATGATAATGTAGTTCTTTAATGTAATTCATTTTACAACCGATACATTTAAATAAGAACTAAAGATTAACATAGTTGGCAATCTTTTTTTATGAATTGTTTGAAAATTTAGTGGGTTCCCATATAAAAAACATATGACAAAATGAAATCATTTCACACTATGATATTGTAACATATGGCTGATAGAAATCTCCAGGTGAGAACAATACTTTGTGTTGAAGCAAAACTGTTTTTAATGTTACAAAGGAAGTGTAATTGAACATAGAACCTAGAAAATTTTAATGTTTGAACCAAATTTACTGAATTTTCAAAAAACTGCCTATCAGAAACCCATTGTCATGGCAACACGAAAAATTAGAAACTTATCTAATTAATACTGAAAATTGTTCCTAGATATATTTTAGGAAAAGTCACCAAATTTGACGGTTCTAGCGCAAGCCGTTCGCTATCCGAGAAAGTGGGCACGGTCCTCAAAAGCCCCCCACGTCTGAATATGATAGGGTTAAGTTATGTATGTACATACCCCAAGCAACGCTAGATGACTCAGGCTCTTCATCTCTGTCGGCATCCGCTTGTGTGTAGGCCTCATCGGAGCACAGATCTTCAAGATGCTTTGGATATACAACAACGTGATCCCCCATGTCAAGATGGCGAAGATTGGTGTCGTTCGGCGCGGCAGCATCCAGCATCACATTTACACGGTCATCCTCTCTATCCACGTCTTCGTGCTTTAGTTCTAGTTCTTCTGGCCCTTCTTTCGGCGAATTCTTTTCGTGGGTCACTTTCATTCCCTCACGGTGGCGAGTAGGGAGTTCTGTAGGCGCAGCACGGTGAAGCGCAGAGATCAACGCAAGTATAGTTTCTCCGTCTTCGTACTTTCTGTTTTCTCCTTCTTCTGGCTTGTTTTCGTGCGGCTGCTTTGCACCGCCTACCTCAATTCCGCTATATTTGCGAGGCGGTGGTACTTCAGGCACAGTAGGCTCCATCTCAGAACTTATAGTACAGAAAACCTTTCACCATTCAGATCCACGTCTTTGTATAATCTTTCCCGTAAGTGATTTCGTATCACTTTCCTCAATTTGAGCCTTTTACAAGAAAGAGAACCACCACATACCCGACAGAATCTGGAAGTGTTCGTCCCAGTTTCTGGCCACTCTGTTCTATACGTCTACATTCATGATGATCTACTGAGTTGAGAGGTGACCAAACGGAGCCGGTCTGTACACTGTGGCTGCAAGACGCACACAGGCTGTCAGTCTGCTTACAAATTAACAAAACCTCGCCTCACCTATGCCTTGACCCCTTTGAGGGTCCTTGGTCCACTATCCTCCTCCATCTAACTCTGTCCTCCGCCGCTCTTATGGCTTCAGCTCAACTCAAACCCAAAGGTATAAAAACAGTCACGTACTTGCCCCTTGTAAGGGATAACCATGAAAATGCTTAGAAATACTTCAGTTTGCTCAAATATTTACAACAAACCCTAAAAATTACGTAACATCAGCCTCATGCATATTGAAAAAAGATCCTGCGTCGTGTTATAATTCTACCCACGTAGAATGTTAAGATTTGTCTGGCAAGTCTCTGTAAACATCATAGTTTTAGCGGCTATGAAGTTTTTTGATTTATTTTTTATTTGCTTTGAAGTACTTCTGAAGGTTTGGTAAGATCTTACCTGGTATTGTTCCTCTCACTGTAATGCCAGATCAAAGGAACTGATTGGTCTGAATATTGGGGGGTAGCCATTTTGAAATATTTTGTCGAATGCTGTTAGGACTAAAAACGCTCTTCGCAGACCCGGTGGTTTATTCGGTGGTTATAGGAACCGACCATTAATTATGACGCCGTATACATCGAAGGAAAGTGGGCCTTTAACGTTATTATCATATAGCTTATTCACACAGTGGTCAAATTTGGGCTCCAGTGTCGATCCTCACATGCTTTAGAACCGAACGGCATTCGATTCGGGGTCACCCGCGGCCATTTACAGTAAACCCGGGTTTCCAGGCTCCTTTTACATTAGTAACTTTACTTCCTCCCAGAAAAAATCACCTTGTCACAAATATTAACTATTTTTGGCAGTACATCTGTAATGCAGTCCATTTGTAGTGGACATGTAACTTGTAGTCATCGTGGGTGACCTTGAATATCGCAATACTTGCATAAACGGTATCAGTTACCCCATGCCGCTATCCGTGCCATTTAAGGTCTCAAACAAGAAATATTTTTCTACGTTATACGGAGAAACAATTACTACCTCCTGTGTCTCCGTTCTTGGATTGTTTCTGGGTTCCCGACATGGAACTTGTCAGGTCCCTGGGCAGCCGAAGGACGGTCTCAGACGGACTACATATAGGTCTGAGCGCTTAGAAATGTGTACGTCGTCTTTTCTACTCGAGGCAAATGTCATGAATACATATGAATTATCCTACAGCAAACCATCTTGTTTTAGAGTAGCTTGGGACCCAATCTAATTTTACATGTACAAAATTAGCCCTATTCAGACGGGGCTTTTTTGGACATGCTCAGACCGGGCGGGGGGGGGGTGATACAAATTATATATGATTATTTAAGATGTTATTAATGTTAAAAAGGAAGTGTAAATAAGTCTAGAACCTAAATTTTAATGTTTGAACCAAAATTACTAATTCTTCCAAAAACTGCTTGTCAGAAACCCGTTGCCATGGCAACACAAAAATCAGGAACTTTTTACATGAAATTGTTGCCAAATATTTTTTAGGAAAAGTCACCAAATTTGACGGTTCTAGCGCAAGCCGTTCGGGCGCTATCCGAGATGAAAGTTGACGCTGACCTAAAACGCCCCCCCCCCCGGTCCTGAATAACGGTTAAAACCGAAAAAAAAGATGCATACAGCTGACAGGGTAGCTTACAGGGTAGACAGATTACACCAATTGAAATACCTGCTTGTTTTTGTCGCAAAACATGAAAAAAAGTAATGGTTAAAAATGAAATGTAAATATCTTTTGATGGAAATAACATTTATGATATTCTAATGTTATTTCCATCAAAAGGTATTGAAATTTCATTTTTAACCATTACTTTTTGATATTCTAATATAATAAGTAAAATCGTATTCTACGATGAAAATTGTCTGAGTAAACGTTTGGTGGTGGTTACTATTTATCATTTATTTTCAAAAAAGCAAGTTGGGTACAACACTATTGAAATACACGTGTTTCAGGCAAATTTGATAAAGTTTTCACTGCTGCACTAATTTATGTATCTTCAACAGGCAGACAAGGATTCACACAACGGGGCTCGAAATTCATTTTTGGGAAATAGGTGCGCTGGTGCACCCAATATGAATAATAACACCTATGTCTGCTATTTCCTGTTGTACAGTGAATGGTGTTTGTACATATTTGTATATAGTGTGTTTCTGTGTACCTGTCTTGTTTTTTTAACAAATTGTAAAAATCGAATACATAATCCAGGGGTGCATTAGCATTCCCTGCTTTTGTACGATTTTGTTGGATTGAATAAATTGAAATTGAAATTGAGGGCACAAAAGGTTTTTTGGGTGCACCATATAAAATAAAGGAAGAAGAATGTCAGCAAAACACTTCTAAAGACAAGTACTGCAATTACTTCAGAAACAAGTCATTTCTTAACAGTGCTAAATACAGAGTGTGCTGGTAGAATTTGACTGAAGTTTGCTACATAGAGTCATGAGTTTCAAGACATCAAAATACGTACGAGCCCTGCAAACTACTTTTCAATTACCACTAAGATCTACAATTGAAACCTTCGTGTTGATATGATAACAGTAAATATTATGTTCAGAATTATTGCATGAGAAATCATAGTCAAAGGCAACTTGAAAACTGATGATCATTCCATCGTTATTTGACATAATGGCATATCAAGCTACTGATTTATTTTCTCAAACATAAGAATTAGGTTCCCTTTATAGTCTGACTATTCATGAATCTGCTCACTACAACGATTCTGCCTTGCTTACAGCGACATTAATACAAATTACTTGACAAATTTCTCATTGCACACGTCTTTTGTTTCAAATACAGTTAAGAGCATTTCAATAATTACTAAGATCTGCAATTGGAATTTGTATGCCAGTTGATATTTGTATGGTAGTTGACATCTAACGTAATATCATGTTGAGAATCATTACATAAGAAAGGATATAATTGACAGCAACTTAAAGACTAATAATCATTCCAGTATTACTGGACTTAATGGCTCCTTAAAGTGTTTTTCAAATCAGAGGCATCAATTTTTTAAGCATTAAAATTAGTTTCCAGTCAATGTGGCTATTCAACGATCTACTTTCTACAACATTGTCTTGCTTTCTAAGACATAAAGTCTTCATTTCATACTTCTTTTGTGTCTATTAATACATAAAACTCTTAAGCATAAAAATTAGTTTTCTTTTCATCTGACTATACTGCTACAACTTAGACGTTAGTTCAAATTGCTTGACGAATTTCCTCTTCAGAAATAATTTTCATTTCTTAGCAGTGTTAAAGACAGAATGTTGTGCAAGTATAATTTGATTGCTACGTAATATCATGATTCTCAAGGCTCAGGAGCATCAAAGTAAGTTAAGTATGAGTACTAGTGTACACATCACTTAGTGCCTATATTTTTTGCTAAAAATGCAACAGCATCAGTTGGTACAGAACCTTCTGTTTAAGTGCTTTCTTCCTCGGAATTGACTTTATATCATTTTGGCATCTCGCAAACATAGGATAGAGCCTCCCTGCAGAGGTGGTCGTTCCACATTCCTTTTTTCCCAGTTGCTCGGAGAATCCACTTTGTAACGAAACCTTTGTCGTCCTGTTACAAAAAATGTTACAAAAAAGGTTACAAAAATCAATGACTACATAGAGTTAGGTAGCTTTCATTCTGCTTATCTAAATTGTCTATTATGCTTTTCCATCACAGTTGATGGTATGGTGAAACAGGACCTGGTGTTGCTTGTTAAGGTTACCTTTTCAAGGCCAACATACTGGCAAAATTATTAACACATGTACATGATACATAAAATATTCAATAGACTAAAAAAGAAAAGGTAAGTCAAACAGACATAGAAATCAACTTAGTAAATCAAATTGACAGTAGCACAATGATTAAATCAAAACAGTACGGAAGATTAGCATCTCTGATAGACTTCGCGTTGCTTGCTTAAAATATGTTAAGGCCTCACCAATTTTATTTGTTGTTTCTCGGATTTTTTCAGAAAAAATTAGGAGCGACAGGGCGAAAAAAAAAACAGACCAAGGCACCCCATGATAGCCGGAAATGTGAGCCATGAAGTGAACATACCAGGCTGGTCTATATTTAAAACAATAGATTTTGAACTTGTAATGAAATAAAAATCAAAATTGCATTGTTACATTGAAAAACTTAAGAACTAGAACGAAAAGGAACCGTGGGACCAAAATATGTCTTTCATTGAGCATTTTGCAGTTAATTTGGAAGCCAAATTTTCAAATTTTTATTTTTTTTGGCAAATCAGAAAAAAATGGACAGGTTGATCTGAGAAGCAACAACTTAAATTGGTGTGGCCTAATAGCAACATTCTATACTGATAACGTTGACAAAATAAGTCGGGACAATGTGCATACCTTGGAGTACATATTGGCACATTTCACGGCCTTGCGGCCGAGAAACATGGTCTGAAAGTTCCTGCCAGGTTCACCTGGAGCCCAGTTGTCGTAGATGAACGGTGACCCATCCGACCACTTCCATGGCCCTTCCAGACAATTCAGTCCGAACCAAACCACATGTCGTGAATAAACTGAAGGGGCTGAAATCAACCAGAGAAGTTATGATTTTTTAGTCATTTTTTCTCATTTACTTCAATTTTCACTTCAAAATTAGGCTTAAACGCACCACTCACATGCTTTGGGTTACCTTAAGGAACTGAAAAGACAAAGGTTTAAGGTTGCACCAGTCAACCCGTGTGTTTTTACATGGTATTTTGTTGTTGTTGATGATATAAATTACAGGTATTAACACCATTCAAACTAGGAGAATTCCGGTACTGGTGTATAAAATACATCACCTACCACCAGCGATGAGTCCTGTGATGAACTTGTTCTCTCCGGGGCTTGTGGCAGAAGCAAGATTTGCACCGAGTTGTTTGCAATTCTCGTTCGCTTTATGCCAGCTGGCTTTGTTACTGAAGAACCTGTAGCAGTGGTTCTTATATTCGCTCCACCCACCCTTGCATGTTAGGGCTGTGAAAAGCAAATTTGTTCTTTATTGCAAGTTCGTGCCCGTCAGGGCTAATTGCACACTGACAGTGATAAGAACAATGAGTACAGAATGTATCGAGAAATGGTATAAAGCCATATGCTAACATGAATTTCTATGTTCTATTAATCTAACTTTCTATCTCTTCCAAGGACATTCTACAGGCTTGTAGAACGTCCTTGATCTCTTCTTAAAACTAGTAATGTATGTATATGTGTCAGAGAGAAGATGTGTAATACATGAAGAGCTAAGAGAAACATTATAATGCCAAGAGGGCGTACAGACAACAGTTCTTAGGGAAAACTGGCTCCTACCTAAAGCTGCAGTTACACACTTCATTCAACATTTTGGTAATAAGAAAAAAACTTACCATGCTCGCAGTGAAATCCAGTCCGTCCATGCGAGCAGGTACATTTGTATCCACCATCTTTGTTCACACAGCGTCCATGTTTGCACGGGTTCCTGGTACACTCATTGATATCTGTGACAAAACAGTAGCAAACATTTAAAGATGTGTGCATTAGGGTTCACGCTGATAGTCGATGAGATAAATAACCGTGGCTTAAGGAAAGTTCAGAATTGGTGAAAGGAAAAAAACTGAGGAAAAATAGTCAAGAAAAATGTTCCTTAAAACTCACCTTGCTGACAATTCTGTCCAGTCCATCCAGGCGAGCAGGTACATTTGTATCCGCCATCTTTGTTCACACAGCGCCCATGTTGGCAGGGGTTCCTGGTACACTCATTGATGTCTGTGACAAAACAAAAAAGACAAGTTAGGCTTGCCAGATGGATATTGTAGCTATTACATGTATGTTTACCCTGAAAGTCAATGAGATAATCAACTTCATGGAAAATATTTCTTGAAACTCACCTTGCTGACAGTTCTTTCCAGTCCATCCAGGTGAGCAGCTGCATGTGTACCCGCCATCTTTGTTCACACAGCGTCCATGTTTGCACGGGTTCCTGGTACACTCATTTAGGTCTGTGACAAAACAAAAAGACAAGTTAGGCTTGCCAGATGGATATTGTAGCTATTATATTTACCCTGAAAGTCAATGAGATAATCAACTTCATGGTAAATATTTCTTTAAACTCACCTTGCTGACAGTTCTGTCCAGTCCATCCAGGCGAGCAGGTACATTTGTACCCGCCATCTTTGTTCACACAGCGTCCGTGTTTGCACGGGTTCCTGGTACACTCATTGATGTCTGTAACAAAGTGGAAAGAAACGTTAGGCTTGCAGGATGAATATTGCAGTTATGTTGACCCTGAAAGTCAATGAGATAATCAACTTCATGGAAAATATTTATTGAAACTCACCATGCTGACAGTTCTGTCCAGTCCATCCAGTCGAGCAGGTACATTTGTACCCGCCATCTTTGTTCACACAGCGTCCGTGTTTGCACGGGTTCCTGGTACACTCATTGATGTCTGTGACAAAACAAAAAGACAAGTTAGGCTTGCCAGATGGATATTGTCGTCATCATCATCATCTGTCGACACCCTGGCTGGGGGACGGGGCAAGCTCCTGCACAACACGACGCCACACAGTACGATCTTCCATTGCAGCTGGAAGGTCTTGTTGTTGTAATCCTGTGTCCCTTGCGAGAGTAGCTGGATATGTAAGTTTTCTTGAGTGAGTCTTGCCATATGGTTTCCACAGGAGGAGTGATGAGATGACTTCTTTGTATTATGTTATTGGATATTGTAGCTATTATGTTTACCCTGAAAGTCAATGACATAATCAACTTCATGGAAAATATTTCTTGAAACTCACCTTGCTGACAGTTCTTTCCAGTCCATCCGGGAAGGCAGCTGCACTTGTAGCCACCATCTTTGTTCTCACAGCGTCCATGTTGACATGGGTTTGGGGTACAGCGATCTATCTCTGTGTGCAAATAGAACAGAAATGTCAGGTCTTTCTAGCTCATCAATGCTAGGCAACGATCAAAGTCAATCAATCAATCAATCAATCAATCAATCAAACAAACAATCAAGAAAAATATGAACATCTCCCTACCACACACATAAAACATATTGATTACTTCAATTAAGGAACTTACCTTGCTGACAGTTCTGTCCAGTCCATCCAGGTGAGCAGGTACACTTGTATCCACCATCGTTGTTCTCACAGCGTCCATGTTTGCATGGATTTCTGGCACACTCATAGATGTCTGTTTGAGAATAGAAATGACCTCAACAATACATGTATACGGCATTAGAATGAAAAATACATCATAATCAATATTAAAACATGAAGAAAATCTTTAAAACTCACCTTGCTGACAGTTCTGTCCAGTCCATCCAAGTGAGCAGGTACACTTGTATCCGCCATCTTTGTTCTCACAGCGTCCATGTTTGCATGGGTTTGGGGTACACTGGTTTATCTCTGTGTGAAAATGGAAAAGACATTTAGGTTTTTCATGTGTAGTCCATCGATACTAAGCATCAAAACTCTGTTACCAGCCAGCATCAGAGTCAATAAACAGAAGAAGAAGAGATTTCAAACTTCCTGGAAGTACTTGTTCTTTCAACACACCTTGCTGACAGTTCTGTCCAGTCCATCCAGGTGAGCAGGTACACTTGTATCCGTTATCCTTGTTCTCACAGCGTCCGTGTTCACATGGGTTTTTGGTGCACTCATTCCGGTCTATTTGAGAATAGAAATTACCTCAGCAATTACAAATTTACATACATGCATATGGCATTAGTATGAAAATACATCATAATCAATATCGAAACATGAAAAAAAATCTTTAAAACTCACCTTGCTGACAGTTCTGTCCAGTCCCTCCAGGCGAGCAGGTACACTTGTATCCGCCATCTTTGTTCTCACAGCGTCCGTGTTGACAGGGATTTTTGGTGCACTCATTCAGGTCTGTTTGAGCAGAGGATTGAGAACAGAAATGATCCCAATAAGTCATTTCAAATACATACATACATGCATACATACATACATACATACATACATACATACATACATACATGTATACATACATACATACATACACACATACATACATACAACACTAGTACGATGTTCGAAATATCAACATCATTCACCAGTGGTTGGCAGAGGCGTCACGATTGTAGGCAAGGTCTGGGTGTCATCGAGACTGGTGTTCGGAAATGGAGAAGTCGCTGTAGTCAAAATAACGAAGGTCGTGCTGTTTTCCATGTACATGGTGGTCATCCACGGAGCGACTGACTTCATGACAGGTAAGTTCGCCGCGAACACCGGGCCATTTTCATTCTTCTTATAATTTGCCTCCTATAAAGACAGGCAAACCAGATTGCATTTCAATATCATATATCATCATCATCACTGCCATCATCATCACTATCATCATCATCCACTGTGTTCTGCGTCTACAGTCGTGTGGAAATGTCCCGTAGCCGCATTCAGTCTTTCTTCACCTCAACCGTGCCTTCTGCCTCGCGAGCTCTCTAAGCTCCTTGAGTTTCTATAGGTTAGTGAATTGCACCGTTTCTATAGGTTAGTGAATTGCACCGTAGAATGCACTATTACTCATACAATTTTATGATGGAACTTACTTTGCTATCACACCATCAGTTATGTTTCATACATTCCTAGATACCACATCCTTTAACCCAAGACATACCGGGTCAAAACTAGGTCAATTAAGTGAAACTTAATCTCCACCCACCCACGTCTGAATCCAAACATACAAACCTAGCATACACCCAAAATAATACTTCCGTCCCGAAAATTATAAGAAAACATGGACTTAACGTTATCAAGGAAGGAAAGAAAACCACATTTTCTTGCCAGAAAATCAAGTGTGACATATACATAACGACAAAAACAGATTTCTTCTTTCTGTTTTGTTCCCCTGAAACTGCACTGGATGCATTTAAATCTTCCTTACCGAAATCAAGCCAAGAGATGCACTAACACTAACCTACCTTAAAGTCATGTATGAGACGAGGTGCCAGTATAGCCATGACTACAACTGACACTATCGCCAGGAGTGAACAGCCCAGAATCAGCCAGCGATTCTTCCCAGACTTCAAGTCGATAAACATTTTCATAAGACGGGCTGAGATGAAATATAAAAGGTGAAAATTTATCAAGATTTTGAATCTGAACGACTTCAAAATTGATGATCCTTCATCATCCAGAGAATGTGAAAAGACACAAAAAATAAACACAAGCAAACACACAACACATACAATAAAATCATAATCAGGAAATTTTCAAACATGTTATAGAAACTCTGTAAGAGCGTAAGGTATTATGGATACTTAATATTCAATGAATACAACTAGATTCACCTTTAGCCTTGAATACTTTGTAGCCGTAGATATTCTCTGGGTTCTCATAGAAACCTTCGTCCTTGTACCCGTGCACATCCTCCGGCGTTTCGTAGTCATTGGATGGGGGAGACTCTTCCCCCTCAAGCTCTATGCACCCGAGCACATCCTCCGGTTTCTCATAATTAGGGGACGGGGAAGAATCTTCGACGTGCCCCGCTTTCACCTATTATTTTTATTTATTCAAAGCACAATAAGACAAAGTGACGCTGCACTTATTCTGCCAGCGCCACTTGACAATAAACAAATATCTATATCTATATATATATGTATATAACTATATCTATCTATCTATCTCTCTCTCTATATATATATATATAGAGAGAGAGAGAGGAGGGAGAAAGATAGATAAATAACATACATATATAGAGAGGGGGAGGGAGAGAGGGAGAGAGAGACAGAGAGAGAATATAACTATATGTACAAACAGATAAGACAAAAAGGACTAAAGCGTCCTACAACCCCACCTAAGCAATTACCATTTCAATTACAAAAGGATAACTGTCTTCTATTTCTTTTACATCTTCTATATCTAGCTCTCACCTTCTCAGGCTCCTCGTAGTCGCCGGTGTCTTCTAATTCGTGCTCCGAGAACGCCAGGACGTGATCTCCCACGGTAAGATAGCGAGGGACAACTGATGGCGGCTTGGTGCCCCCTCCCTCCCCGTCTGCGCTCTCTTCCATGGGTCGCTTGCTGTCCCTTGCCACCACCTGGGAGTCTATTAGACATAGGCCTTTTTTTAGCCTAGGTAACATCCTATTTGTATGCCGGGGCTCCCATACTCACTCCCTAAGAAATCTCATCACCACCAAACATCACGACATCTTCACCAAACCAAAATGATCTAACCGTTTCCCGACTATTTCTTAGGGAGCGAGTATGGGAGCTCTGGCATACAAATAGGATGGCACCCAGGCTAGGCCTTTTTCACACTAGAATAACATTGTCCGGATCAAGCAGAATAGATTTGTTTTGATCCGGCTTCGATCCGGATCGACTAATCGACTCGATCCGGACACTTTTTTCCTAGTGGGAAAAGGGCCATGATACGAGTATAGGGCTGCTGTGTGAAGACCATATGCTCAGGCAGGCTTCTGGGCTTCCAGAACCCCACCTGGGGAAAATCTACATGTAGGTTCTTGGATACGCGGATAGACTATCCAGAACCTTTCCTTATTCAAACCACTTAGGCACAGAGCTAGACAGGCTCGGTTCTGGATACAATAAGTGGGAACCGAAACTCACCCGAATGATGGCTTCTCATACGAAACAATTCAGATACACAGGATAGGTGTTCCTCCAAGGACGGATAGATATTTACGTTGGCGGTGTGTCCTTCATATCAAGAACTCTATAGTGTATACGTGCCTCTTATGTCAAGGATTCCCTCTTTTACTTGTAGATGGGGTGAAGGTTATACGTCGCAAGGTTACATAATATTATTATTCATCTGGTTCCAGTCGGCTGTGTTTAGGCCATGTTGATTTGATTATATGGATGACATCCGCGCGCGCATGAATTTTCGGCCGTTTCCAAAAAAAAAAAGTTTTCAATCATACTGTAAATCGTACAAAACAGTTGCAAAATGAGCAAAAATATACCATACGTTACAAAAAAAATTAATAAAAACTATACCAATGTCGTAGAATGCCAAAATCAAACGAAAAAAGACGAAATTGTAAAGAAATGAACTTGAAGACAAGATTATTCGCCAAACCATATTCTGTGCCATTTGCTCAACCCTCATGACCACGTAGATTTCATAATGAAAATAACTTTTTTTTTAAACTTTTTTTTATTCGCACGCGCGCATCAGTTTTGGGGCTCCCGGAGGATGTCATCCATATAATCAACATGGCCTTAGACAATGAAATAATCCGTTTACTTGTCAGCTGACCAGATGTATATTGTCATAGAATCTTATGGAAATATGATGTGAAGCTTTTAGAAGACAATTCTATCTATAATCAAGTAGTGATACCCAATCTCTGTCCACTCATTTCGGAGGCCAAACATACAAACCTAGCATAAATTACCGCCACCCAAAACAATACCTCAGATGTCTACTGTCATGGTGTATTCTGGAAATATTTTCTGAAGCTTTAAGGCGGCAGTTTTATCTATTCTGAAGCGAAACCCAATCTCTGTTCACTCCTTTCGGAGGCCAAACATACAGACCTAGCATAAATTACCGCCACCCAAAACAATACTTCCTTCCCAGAAGTAAAGACTAAAGCGCGAGCCCTTTGTAACAGCCGCTGGCTAGTTGGGCTGCCCTGGCTGTGAGGATTGAAGGCCAAACCAATAGATAAACAGGTGTCCATAGGCAACAATTCTCCGTGAAGTCTTACATTTTGTAAATACATGTACATACATGTATCAAAGATCAACAACACGACAATGTAAATAGAATAACAAAGTCCTCTTTGATAAAAAATATCTTTCATTTGCTACATATTATTTACTTGACAAGGTAGTAGGTGCAAACCATAAGTCACAATCCCAGCAGATACTCACAAACGATTATACTTAACGACCACCTAATATCTGCTTCCAGAACCTTGCCTACCACACAGCTACTTAAGCTATGGTCCATTCCGCGGGTTTTATAAAAAATAGGGGTGTTTCTGAAATATGCATTTACTTTAATATAAAAACTGCTACAGTAAAATTAAAAATACGTGCACCATCACGGGTAGTGCCTGCAGACAACGTATAAAATTACATGCAATTAGGGGAACCCTGTATTTTAGCTGCGAACACGAAATACCGACTGACCACAATACTCCTGCAGGAGGGATACCTCCTTCACGGAGTAATAAATAAATGCAGAACAAGGCCGGGAATCTGCTACTGAGAGCCCCGCACATAATGCCAAGGACTGCCGTACGGACACGACTGAGCATGAGCTGGTTTTAAGCAAACATGTCATACATGAGTCTGGGGTGGTCTCTGAATATGCCGATATGTTGTGGAAAAAAACTACATACTGGCGATGCAATGCATAATCAACTGTGCTACAGTCATACGGTGACAATCTTGTGGCAAGGGATTTTGACTCAGATGTGAACGTGCTAGATTTGAATCCCTGGCAGGCTCAGTGTTATGCTTTTGGGGAAATGCGTTTTGCAGCTATTTCACCAGTCGACTCATGTGCAAATGAGTACCTAGCTTCAGTTAGGGATATTCTCTAGGATAGGGCAGACAGAGCAGAGCAGACGGTTGGAATAAAATTGAAACGGAAACAGACACGTGCCTACTTCTATGCCTGCACGTGTTAAGGTTGGGATCAGGCACGGTTCTGGATCGTCTACGTGTATCCAACAACGAGAATTTGCTCCCCAGGCACGGTTCATAATATAATACGCATGGGCTATGAAGAACATGGATAAAACACGGTTGTGGATACAATAATTCCATGATAGAACCAAAAGCCACCACAGAAGCCGCAACATTGGAAAAAGTGACCAACCTTAAGTTTTAAGCAACTTTTAAGAAAATTTTTAAAGCAGTAATTATTGGAAACACTGTAATAACTAAGAAACCCCAAATATGAGCATTTTTGGTGATACTGGTACACGGAATTTTCCTTTGTCGTGGAAGAAAGAAATCCTGCGACAAATCCGAGATCAAACAGGAAAAAATGGAAATGCTGTGGTCGGAATGTACATTCATAACGATATATTCTTCTGCTTTAAGTGGGAAGATCCAGCTTTGTGTACTAAAACTCACATTTTCCAAGACCTATCGTAGACAGGAACTCGTTGCCACCGCGCACAGTTGGGGCATTATCACTAGACAGTTTCAAACAACTCCTGCTGTTAAGTGTGCAAATATTGGGTGTAACAGGTCGTTCGGTGTGATATAGCCGCCCCGCGTGCCTGCGAAGCTGGTGTGTTACACGAAGGGCGGATATACCGGCTATAGTGATACAGGTACAGAACAGTAGAAAAACTCGAAATACCTGAGTTTGCCTCGGTGTTGACAGCAAACGTCTTCACTTCTGTCTGCGACAGAATCTTCTCGCTACGCCAAGAAATACAGACAGACTAATCTCTTGCTATGATGTGGTGTTACCATAGCAACAAACCATATATGGTCTTCTTACACCTTTCCCCGAAAAAATGCATGCCCGCGTCGGAACTTTTATCATTGCAAAACGCGTGCCAGACAAATCTGATTTTTAAAAAAGGTGCTACGTGCGGAGAGGTCTGTTAACTGTGTAGGCGTGGACTGTCTTTCAATATGCATGTGTAATAGGCTGTCTGCACGTTCTAGTCAACGTTACCTCTAGCCTCCTGTGCAGGCTTCCGAGCGAGTGGGAGCTAAGATACTGTGGTAAACGCGTTGTTTTGCCAGTGAACGGTATTACTAGTATACCTCTAGCCTCCTGTGCAGGCTTCCGAGTAGGTTGGAGTTTTCATAATGCAGTAAACGCGTTGTTTTGCCAGAGAACGTTCCTAGTATGCGACCAAAGAGGGTTATACCGCCAGAGAATGTTGTGCCGCGAGAGAGGGTCGTTCGGTGTGATATAGCCAGCTGCCGCCGCGCCGCGTGCTTGCGAAGCTGGTGTGTTTCGCGGAAGGGTGGTTTTACCGGCTATATTGATAAAGATACAGATACAGAGGGCGGGTATAAACCCTCTATCGTGGCATAACATTCTCTGGTCGTATAATGTTCTCTGGCAAAAGAACCACAGTATCTTAAGTTCTTAACTCCCACCTGCTCGGAAGCCTACACAGGAGGCTAGAGGTAACGTTGAAAGACCGAAACATGCAGACAGCCTATCGCACATGCATATTGAAAGACAGTCCACGCCTACACAGTTAACAGACTTCTCCGCACGTAGCACTTTTTTTTAAATAAGATTTGTCTGGCACGTGTTTTGCATGATAAAAGTTCCGACGCTGGCATGAATTTTTTCGGGGAAATCTTAACTTCCACCCGCTTAGAAGCCTGCACAGGAGGCTAGTTACCTCAAGAAATCATATGCATCCTTCACATTATCGGCGGAATGAGCAGGAAAACCGTCTGACTGAAAAATCTTTTTTGTTTATTCCTGTATATTCGAATTGCATTCTAGGAATTCTCATTGTAGATATTTGTGTCCATTCTTGTGTCCATTCTTGTGGCTGACCAGAATGTTTTGGTCGTGTTTGAAAATTCCGAGGTGAATTTGAAGTGGAGAAAAATCAAACGGTATCCATGTGTATTAGGGCCGGGGAGACCCGCCAAGTATATATAAACAGTGAATACATGTTAAGGTCTATGCTCTCATCGTTTTACAATGATAATGATAGTGGCGATTCCCAAGATAGGCATCAATGATAGCAAACGTAACACATGTATATCAAGACTGTAACGTGACTGTACTGTCCCATCTATACATGTAGGCGGATGTTTTTACCTTGTTTTTGATTGATTTGATTTGATTTGATTTGATTTATTGAAATTGCAACAGTGCAATACAGGACAGACAATACTCATTTTCACTTGAGTTAAGTGAGGAAAGTCGTGGGCCATGGCCCAAGAAATGCATTGGCCAAAGAAATGATCGTTAGCCAGCCTATACAGATTGAAGAAATGAAGTCTAGTAAACCCTTGGCGACCACAAACAATAGACAAGGTAGACGCTTCACATGAAAGATGTACTAGTAATCTGGCTCACGGACTGTCTGCAATTAGATGCAACCGGTTGATCCACTCTCGTTCCCAGCTTTGTAATCTTCCATTCCGTCAGACAACTTGTACAAAGGGTACGCTCGGGGCAACAGCGAGTTTTGGTGGTTGTGTTATTTTATGGTAAAAAAATGGCGGTAAACATTCCCGGAATCGTCGCCATCGTGGTGTTCTACCTGCTTATTCTGGCGGTGGGTATGTGGGCTGGACGGAGGGGGAAGAAGGACGAGGGAAGCACCGAGAGCGAGAACGCCATGCTGGCCGGCAGGAACATCGGGACCTTCACCGGGCTACTCACACTCACAGGTCGGTCTGGCGATAACTTTTTGATTTGATTTATTGAAATTGTAACAGTGCAATGCACGTGTAAAACGATAGGCGGCTGTTGCTGGTGTTGTGTCCCGCACACAGAAATAAATACTAGTACTGGCGCCCAGCGGTACGCACGGAATCGGAACCAAGTTGTCTGCGTATCGACACATGGTGGCGGCGTTGATAAAATCTAAAAAAAATCACTGATTCGTGAAGTCAAATCCCTCGCGAACTCTCAGATTGGCCGATAACGCTAAAAAGTCCTCGTGAACATAAATATATTCACAGTACAGGACAGACAGTATTCGTTTTCACTTGAGTTAAGTAGGGAAAGTCGAATAAGGTGCCTTTCCCAAGGGCACAAGATCGGTGTCATGTCAGGACTCGAACCCGGGACCTCTTTGTTCCGAGTCGAGCACTCTGCTGTTGCGCCACACGACCCCACACAAACATACACGACGAGTCTGCGAGCTCAAATTTAACATTTCTGAGAGGAATGGTCTATGTCCTTGGTCTACTGTACTCTTGATAATTGTACAATTTTTAGGGAGCGGCCGACTTTTGTCCGAGCCCATCCTACCAAGAACATTATACAGTATAATGTCCTTGACCCTACTATGCCTGACAGGAACAACGTATTGTAACACTGTTGAAGTATAACATCTAGAGATTATGACTATGTACGTTAGGGTAAAAAAAGTAACGCCTACGCCTACTGACTTGTAGACAATTTCTCATTATTCGCTGACTCTAATGTACGGTTTAGATGTAATCTTTCACCAGTGTCACAATACGTTGTAGCCGTTGGCCATAGCACCGCCCAAGAACATTATACAGAAGGTCATTGCACCGCCCAATTTCATAGGGTAGATATTGGCATGAACTAAACATACCAAACAGTAATCTGGAAGTCATTTTGTGCCAGTTTCATCGATTCTAAGAGAATATATCGATCTGAAGTGGTATTAATGTCGCGACCTGTTTTAGAGAGCATAACTAGACAAAAAGAAATTTTAAAGAATTTAGACGGGCATAACAATTCCCCTGCGGCTGAAATGCAAATAATGCTAATTTACTTCCACATCCAGCGCCTTAGGCTATCAAATGGGGGGGAGAAGAGTAGACGTATTGTTCTCAACACAAGGCCACGAATACTAGTACTAGAAATCATAACATATATAATCCGTGTGACTTGTTAACGAAAACGATCACTTTGACAAGTGAGTTGTAAGAAATACTTGCAGATGTTCGTAACGCCATTCAAGAACCTATCCTACATGGTTGTACAGGTTTATACAAAGCATCCGTTATTAACGTGCCTTTCTAGTATTCAGAATGGTCCATGCCTACTTAATAGATTTATCGTGTTGGCCTATCGCCACAGAGGGCAGAAGAACGCGTTTTTCCAGCTAGGAATACAATAAGGCTGTGTTACATACACGGCCTTTTCGCTGTCCCCCAGGGCTAAGGTTTAGTTGAAGCAATCTATCATATTTAATCAATAGTCGGAAGCTTGACATATAAATGGTTTAGTCGAGTGTCTCATTACATGGTCATGTCTTCTTAGCCTAGATGTCGGCCTTGTCAGCTTTAGTACTCTCTTTTCTTAGGTTCCCCGTCAAAAACACTGGACCCGAACCCGGCAAATGTCTGGCGGTTTGCAAATAACTGGTTACTTTTAATGCAGCAACTTTCGCAGTGATTTTATTCAAAAGTTTATCCAAAAACTGAGAATTCTTGTGTAACAACACTGGCGTTGAGTAAAGAGACTATTTTTACACAACCAAGTCTTTTATTTAGCCAACCTTTCGGTGACCGCCTGTCACCTTCCTCAGGACAATTCTGACTGGTTCACATTGCATTGCAGCACAGGTGTCGCATTCCCAAACGTGCAATAGTTACATATCTACACATATGCGTGATTACAGGGAAATGTATCTACAATGTGGTCCCAGACGTACGGGAGTTAGATGTATACATAATTGTTGTCAGTTAACACTGGCGTTTTTTATTTATTTTCACTGCAGCCACCTGGGTGGGAGGAGGCTACATCAACGGAACAGCCGAAGTCATCTTCAACCCGACACAGGGCGCCGTCTGGTGCCAGGGCCCCATCGGGTCTTCTCTGGGACTTATCATTGGTACGTTCTGCGACTGTTGTACGGCATTTGGGGACGTTTGAAATGGGCGCATGGCATATCTTAAAGGCATCCAATGGAATTTCAGGGCGGCAAAACAAAAATATTCTGGATGAGGAAATCTGTTTGACATTTACTGCCATTTCTTAGCAAATTTTGGGCATCATTTCATACTTGAGGCGTTTAGAATAGACCCAAAGCCAGCTATGTGAGGAGTCTATTTATTTATTTTTTGGCTACCACCCGTAAACATCTAGAACCAACATACGATACAAAACAAGCAAACATTTACCGTCAGTGACATCGACTCACAGATATCAGTATGGTACATTAAAAGAATAACCGGGAAATTGACTCCAGTTCTGTCACCCTGAAATTGCATCGGAGATTTCTTGTTGGTTTTACTGAAGTATGAAATCTATGATTTCCATGTATGGCAAATTACTGACCATTGCCATGTGTATGCATCCATAGGTGGACTCTTCTTCGCTAAGAAGTTCCGGTCGCAGGGTTACGTCACCATGTTGGACCCCTTCCAGCAGCGTTACGGCCGGAGGATGGGGGGACTGCTCGTCATCCCGGAGCTGTTGGGAGACATCTTCTGGGGGGCAGGCATTCTAGCTGCACTGGGTAAGACACTCTGCGTCACAATCTAAGCAAAAAATCGGACGTTTCAGCCTTCTTGAAGAAGAATGTTGAGGTTTTCGTGATCTTCGCGTTCACATGACCTCCGGGAAGGGTTTTGGATTTTCGTCAATGTATTGAAACTGTGGAAGGGACCTTATGATGTAATTTAATCTTCCTAAATACCTCCTGTGATAGCTACCCGTTTGCTAATTGTGCTGGGTCACCTTTAGGCTTGACCTTCCTGTCAATCTTTATTTGATCAAGATCAAAATCACCTCCCACCCACCATGCAAACGAAGCAATTAGGATAGACAGAGACTAAAGCACACGGCCAAACCACCAAGAATCCGGAAGTATACGTATCCTATCAAATTTAAAGTCCATGTTAGCAATAAGAAACAGATGGCTAGGGAAAGATACATATTGTACATTGCTTTCCTTTGCAGGTGCATCCCTCAGTGTTGTGTTGGACATGGACCTGCTTGTGTGTGTCCTCATCTCCGCCGCCATCGCTATCTTCTACACACTGTTTGGGGGCCTGTATTCTGTCGTCTACACTGACGTCATACAACTGTTTTGCATATTCATTGGCACAGTAAGTAAAGGGATTTCTTCTTGGATTTCTATCGGTCATTAAAATCATTCAAGTATATGACTCCTTGTGTGTGTAAGTGTGTGTGTGTGTGTATATATATGTATATGTGTATATATGTATGTATGTATATATATATATGTAATA